TATTATAATTGATAATATTTCCTACAACTCATTTGTTTTGATGACTTGTTTCCACATTATTTTATATAATTTTATATATACTTCGTTTGTGTTGATAAAATCATAAACTGGAATGAATTAAATTTGCGATTCAATATTTGCAGCATGCAGAATTAGTAGTAATATTATCGCTGATGTTGATATTCATTTGTATTTCGACTACAACCAATATGATCAAACTGAGATTTTTTGAGTCGTTTGTTTGCCTATTGATTTATACGGAAGTTTTTTAGATTGCTTGAATTTACTGCGTTCTTTCGTTCTGGCCACTAAATTAAAAAAAAACTTGCCCTCTTAAAACTTTAACATCACGCTCGGTTTTTTATCTGAAGACACTTTTTGCTTTGCTTTTAGTATCTGTTTTCCTCTAAAGAATGTGTTTCATCTGTTTTCGACACAAATAAGAGTTTGTGAGCACGTATGAGGTATTGCTAGAATTTCTTATTGGTAAATACCGGTAGCTGGTATCACTATATTAGAAATTTCGGAACGTGTATTAAAATTTATTGGTTTATTTGTAATTGTTTTTACCTATAATTTTATTGGTACGTGTACGTCTGCTATGAATCAAGAAATATGAAGTTCGGATTTTATATTTATAAATATTCTCAAATAATGTTTGTAAAGTCTGAGGCATCCAGTTCAAATCTACATTCTTTGATGTCACATTTATTGGAAATATTTATTTATTGAATATATTTGCAATTTCTTTAAAATCGCTGTGTCAACAGTTTTCAACATTATTTTCTATATCTATACAATGTGAAGTGGCCGTTTTTATTCTACCAGTGTTTATTTGTTGTCCATATTGTTTCTTTGTTGTTGTTTATAACTAAAATTTGATTTTTTCTTTGTCATTATTGTTTTCCTTAGTTTTGTTCGTTTAATTTTTTTAGTTCCTGAGCGTACGCCGTTTCCGTCTGTCCGTCTGTCTGTCTCTGTGTCTACCGTCTGTTCGAATTTTTATTAGACATTTAATCTTCGAAACTACTAGACCCATTGTTGTCAAATTTTATACGCATTTTAGGCATATTCCTACATTTTTTCAATTCTTCGTTTATCGATTTTTCAGTTTCTCAGTTTTTAATTTTTCGTTTTTTCCATTTTTGGTTTCCTCAATTTTTCAACTTCTTGAATTTTATTTTCAATTTTTCCAATTTTTGAATTTTCATTTGCTCGATTTTATAACGCAGTTTTTCGTTTTTTCATTTTCTTTAATGTTTTTCCGACTCTATAATTTTTAAATTTTTCAATTTTGGAAGTTTTGAATTTCTCAAATATCCGATTTTCTGATTTCTTTCATTTTCAATATTTCGATTTTACAATATTTCGTTTTTTCGGTTACACATGTTTTCGATTTTGAAATTTCTCAGTGTTCAACCTTCCAATTTTTCAATTTGTCGTTCCTTTAATTTTTTCAAGTTCTTGATTTCCAATTTTCAGATTTTCAATGTTTTCATTTTATACTTTTTCGTAATTTCATTTTTGATTTTTCAAATTTTTTGGGTGGAAAAGTTGAAAAATTGAAAAATTAAAAATCGAAAAACTAAAAAACTGTAAAACATTGAAAAATCAAAAAACTGAAAAATGGGCAACTGCAAAATGGAAAAAGTGGAAAGTTAAAAAATTGCAAATCAAAGAACTAAAGAATCGAAAAATTGGAAAAAGAAAATACGAATCGAATTTCAGTTTGACAAAAGAAAAATTATAAAATTAACATTGAAAAACCGAAAAAGTTTAAAAAACAAAGAAAGTGAAAAACCGAAATGAAAAATTTAAAAAATTGAGAAATCGATAATCTGAAAATTCAAAAATTCCAAACTTCAAAAAACTGAAGAATAGAAATAATGAAGAAGTGAAAAATCTAAACATTGAAAAATCGGGAAATCGACAAATCTATAATTTAAGAACAGAAAAATTGAAAAATCGAAAATCTGAAAACCAAAACATTCTAAATTTAAAGAGTGAAAAAACTGAAAATCGAGATATTGAAAAATTAAAACCTGAAATAACGAAAAATTGGGAAAATTTTTAAGTTGAGAAATCGAAAAATCGAAACATCCAAAATATCAAAAGATCGAGAAATCGAAATAACCCAAAATCGAAAAGTTAAAAACTGAAAAATCGCAAAATTTTAAATAAAAAGAATCGATAAATCGAAAAATTGAAAAATCAAAAAAATCGAGAAATTGAACAATCAAAAAATCAAAACATCAAAAAATTGAAAAATCTAAAATTTGAAAATTGGATTAACTGAAAAATAAAAATATCGAAGAACTGAAAAATCCACAAATTGAAAAATCTAAAATTTAATGAATTGAAAAATCGAGAAACTGTAAATTCTAAAACGGAAAAAACCAAAATTAAAAAATCTGAAAGTTGAAAAACAAAACAATTGAAAATAGAAAAGTTGAAAAACTCAAAAATTGAAAAATTTCACATTGAAAAAAGAAAATTTATAAAATCAGAATATTGAAAAACCGAAACATTTTAAAAAGTAAAGAAAATAAAAAACCGAAACGAAAAATTTAAGAAATGAAAAATTGAAAAATTTAAAAACTGAAACATCCAAAAGTTGGAAAATTGAAAAACTGAAAAATTTAAAAGTAAACTCGGAGAGAAAAAATCCTAAAATCTAAAAAAGTAAAATTTAAAAATAAAAAAATAGAAAAATCAGAATCTGAAAAATCAAACATTTCAAAATTCAAAAAATAGAAAAATAGAAATAGTGAAGAACTGAAAAATCGAAAAATTGAAAAATCGAAAATCCGAAAGTCAAAACATTCTAAATCTATAGTAAAACTAAACTGAAAATGAGATATTGAAAAATTCTAAACCTGAAATAACGGAAAATTGAAAAAATTGACAAATTGAGAAATTGAAAAATTAAACATCGAAAAATTGAAAAATTGAAACATCAAGAAACGAAAGATCAAAATTGAGAAACCGAAAAGTCGAAGTATCGAAAAATCGAAAAATTGAGAAATCCAGATATCCCAAAATCGAAAAATCGAAAAGTTAGAAACTGAAAAATTGAAAAACTTAAAATAAAAAAAAATCGATAATTCTAAAATTGAAAAACTGAGACTTCAAGAAATGAAACATCAAAATATCCAGAAATCGAGAAATCTAAAAGCTGAGAAGTTGAAAAATCGAAATATTAAAAACTGAAACATTGAAAACTTAAAATTAAAAAAATTGATAAATCGATAAATTGAAAAAGCGACAAATCGAGAAATTTGTCGCTTTTTCAATTTCAATTTGTCAAAAATCGAAACGTCAAAAAAGTGAAAAATCAAATATTTAAAAATTCGAATAATTGAAAAATAAAAATAACGGAGATCTGAAAAATCGAAAAATTGAAAAATCTAAAATTTAACGATTTCAAAAATTAAAATATGGTAAATTGAAAAATCGACAAATTGAAAATCGAAATATTATTGGTAAATTCCAAAACCGAAAATTCGAATAATTGAAAAACTGAAGAAAAATTGAAGAATTGAATACCTAATTAAAAATCAGGAAATCGAAATTCGAAAAATCGACTGCGAAAAATTAGAAATTTAAAAAATCGAAAATTCGAAGAATTGGAAAACGGAAAAATCGAAAAATCGATAATTCGAAAATCCAAAAAATCGATTAATCGAGAAATTGAGAAATCGAAAAAATTTTAACATCGGAATATTGAGAAATAAAAAAATGAAAAAATCGAAAAACGGAAAATTTGAAGAATCCAGAGATTGAAGAATCGGAATGTTGAAAAGTTGAAGATAAACTGAAGAAATGAAACATCAAAAATCGAAAAACTGAAAAATACAAAATTGAAAATTCAGTAAAGTAAATATCGAGAAATCGAAAAACATAAATTCTAAAATCGTAAAATCGAATAAATGAAAAAGTGTTAAAATGCCATGATTGAAAAATGGAAATATTCTAAAATCGTAAAACTGCAAAAGTGAATAATTTAAAAAATTACAATTATTATTATTATATATTTAAACTGAAAACAATAAAAATTGCAAATCAAAAATTAAGGAAACGAAAAATTTAAAAATCGAGAAACTGCAAATTCTAAAATTGATGAAACGGAAATTAAAAACGTAAAATTTGAAAAACCGAAAAAGTGAAAATCCAAAAATTTAAACATTTCAGATTGAAGAAAGAAGAATTCGAATAAATAAAAAAACAAAAAACCTAAACGAGAAATTGCAAATGGAAAAACTGAAGAAATGAAAAATTGAAAAATCGGAAAATTGAAAAATTAATAATTTAAAAGTCATGAAATAGCAAAACGAAAAATTGCAAAATCTAAAAATTGAAACGCCAAAAGCTGAAAAATCTAAAAACTGAAGAATTTAAAAATAAACTCGGAGTATTACATATCGTGAAATTGAAAAAACAAAAAATTTTAAAATCGGAACATTGAAATATCGAAAAATTGTAAATATAAAGAAAATACAAACCGAAATAAGAAACTGCAAATGGAAAATTTGAAGAAATGAAAAATTAAAGAATGGAAAAATAGAAAAAAAAATAAAAACTCGAGAAATTTTGAATCGAAAAATTGCAAAATCAAAAATTTGTACATTCAAAAGTTGGAAACTTGAAAAACTGAAAAACTTAAAATGGAAAACTGGAAAAATTGCAAATCGAAAAATTGAAGAAACAAAAATCTGCGGAGTGTTATTTAAAAATCACAAAAAAAAATGTAATAATTTTTCAAAAAAGCTGGATTTATTGGGTAGCACTTCAGGGGTGAAAGAAGATCTGTCGAAATAGCCTTCGACCAATTTTTTAATCGCGCTTTGCTCTCTTTTGCCTCCCCCATTTCACCCTACTAATTTTCTCTTTATATTCAGTTTGAATAAAAAATCACGTTGTTTCTTACGGTTGATAGAAAGGGCACGTGCCGCCCCCCGCCTTCCAGCGCCGCCCCGTCCCTAAAAACGCACCATTCCCGCTCATTAAATCAATAATTGTGCAAACTAGAACAGCAAAAACCACCCCTCCCGCTAAAATCCTGAAAAGTTAAATTGGATTAAGCGTTACCGCAACTGCACAATCCTCACAAAAAAGAATATTCTCCTGAACTCCACTGCGGTCGAGTCGATAAAGTCATGCAGTTTTCTTCTTTCAGCGTAACTGTTATTTCTAATCCCTGTGCAAGTTCCATTATTGTTCGGTTGAAATGGTTGAGAACGTCAGCAGCTGGACACGAATCGGGAATGCAAACGGACCAGATTAATCTCACGCCCTGAATTACGCTGCTTTTTATTTTCTCGAAGCGCTGAAAATGTTATATCTTACCGGCAGATTATTTCACCGCTGAATGGAATAGGGTCGTTTCACGAATTCTGCGAAAGGTGCTTGGAATTCGCTGAAATTTTGCACATACAAAGCGTAGATAACTTCAAAACGAAACAGTTTGCCTAATTTGCGATTATTTTACTGGTACGTAACAAATTTTTAATTTCGGCCGAGTTGGTAAAACTTTGTGGCACGAAAATTAAAAGGAGTGTAATTCATTGTATTTCAGCGGGCTTCTGTGTACGCTTATTTGCAGCTAAAGATTCATAAAAGTGACATTAACAAAAGTTACAAAGTTTTCTTTGTTAAAAGAGTGTGACAAATCGTTGATATTTACAAAAAATAATTAGGAACCATCACTGCTCCCTGAGGAGGACTGAAATTTATTTGGTTAAAATATTAAATAATACTAGAGTTTTGCTTGTGAATGTAAATATGTAGGTCAAATGCACCAGTAGTGCTACGATTTATTTATGTATTGCATTGTTTCACGAACGTCGCAATACGTAATTCCTTTATATTCAAATCCCTTAGAGCTGATAAGCGACAACAAATTTAAAGCTTTTACTAGAGTAATTAGAGACAATTATTTAACGAAATATGCTTCTAAATCACCTGAGAAATTTGTAAAACTTGTTTTTAGAATTTGTGCTGCTATATTTCGCTCCCGTGTGGTTCTCATTTTTTTAAATTTTTTCTCTGAGAATTGACTACAATTTTATTACTTAATTGAGTTGGAAAATTGTGTTTATCACGTTTGGGAGGTAAACCAGGTGTGTCGGAAAATTTAAATTGTTCTAGATATAATGGTATGTACATGAAGTAATTAACACTACTTCTTTGATCATAGTTGGCTGTATAGCGGGGGCCTGGGAGGCGGTTGGCTCGAAGCCCGAGGTCTCGCATCGTCGCCCAACTTTTTACGATTTTTTTTAATGTCTGTAAAGTGATACTTTCAAACTTTGACAATTTGAATAATTGACGGTTTGAAGAATGGGTGTTGATATTTGTTTGTGGGGTGGATGAACCTGTAGAATTATAAATAAAAGATGGCCGAGATGTCCACAGAATTAAAAATAAGTGATAGTGCGTGTGTGAGAGTATTTGTGAATAGGTAAATTTTGGGTTTTAATATTTATCTCTGCTTATACAACACTTGTACAATTTGCATGAACAAACCTGTTTGCGTTTTAGATGTCTTACATATATGTTTTTATACAGGGTGATCAAAAATAAATAATTTTTCGATTGTTGCGGCGCCAGCAAAACGTATACATATACAGTGTTGAACATTGGTCTATACAAATTTTGGATATCAAGCTGGAATTGTCAAAGATGATTGACGTCAAAAAAATTGGTTGAAGGTTATTTCGACAGAACAATGAAATTGAAAAATCGAAGAATTTTAAAATCGAAAAATTGAAAAACTGAAAAATCGAAATCCACAAAAAAGTAAAAAATCAAGAGATCGAGCAATCGAATCATAAAAAAACTTAAAATATGGAAAAATTTAAAAATCCAGAAATTGCAAAATTCCCAAAATTGAAATGTTGAAATATTAAGAAATCAAAAACTCGAAATATCAAGATGTCAAGAAATCGAATCAAAAAACTGAAAAATCGAAAAAGGTAAAATTTAAAAAATACAAAAATTGAAAAACCAAACTGAAAAATAAAAAATTTAAAATTTGAAAAACTGAAAAATGCAGATATCGAAGGACTGAAAAATCAAAAATAGAAAAATCGATATAGACAAATCGACACTTTTTAAAATTGAAAAATTAAAAAAGTGAGAAATCCAAACATCAAAAAATCGAAAAATCGAAAAACTGAAACAATTAAAAGGTAAATCTCAAAGAATTTAAAAATCGAAAACTGAGAACTCGAAAACTCCATTTTTTAAAAATCGAATAATTTAAAAATTTGAAAATTGAAGATTCGAAAAACTGAAGTGACTAGAAATTGGAAAATCGGAAAATTGAAAAGTCGAAAAATCGAAGTCCGAGGGGTCGAAAAACCAAGAAATTGAAAAATTCCGAAATAGAAATGTTGAAATATTAAAAAATCGAAAACTCAAAAAATAGAGGTGTCAAGAAATCGAATAAAAAAACTGAAAATCGAAAAATAGAGATATCGAAGAACTGAAAAATTGAAAAATAGAAAAATCGAGAAATCGAGAAATTAAAATATCGAAAATTGTAAAATTGAAAAATTGAGAAATGAAACATCAAAAAATCGAAAAATTGAAAAATTGACAAATCTAAAATTTAAATCTCAAAGAATTGAAAAATAGAAAAGCCGAAAAACCGAAGACTGAGAAATCGAAAAATTGAAAAATCTGAAAATTGAAGAATCGAAAAACTAAAGTGACTAGAAATTGTCAAATCGAAGAATGGAAAAGTCGAAAAACAGAGAAATCGAAAAATGGAAACGTCGAAAAAATTAAAAACTGAAACATCGAGAAACGAAACTTTAAAAGATCGAGAAGAGAACGCGAGAAATCGAAAAATTGAGAAATCAAAATAGCCCAAAATTGAAAAATCGAAAAGTTAAAAATTGAAAAATTTATAATTAAAAAATCGTAAATCGGAAAATAGAAAAATTGAAAAACTGAAAAATCGAAGTCCACGGGGTCGATAAATCCAGAAATTGAAAAATTCCCAAATTTAAAATGGTGAAAAATTGAGAAATGGAAAACTTAAAAAATTGGGAAATCTAAAAATCGAAATGTTGAAAATTTTTAAAAATGACAAAGCGTGACCTCAACAAATCGAATCAACAAATTGTGAAATAAAAAAATTGAAATATCGAATAGCTGAAAAGTCAAAAATTCGAAAAATTGAAAAACCGAGAAATCGAAAGATCGAAAATTTAAAAAATTGAAAAACTAAAGAATCGGAAAACTGAAAAATCGAGAAATCGAAAAATTCCTAAACTGAAATGGTAAAAAATTGTGAAATTGAAAAGTTGAAAAATCGTTACATCGAAAAATTGGAAAATCGGAAAATCGAGAAACAGAAAAGTGGAACAAAATCAAAATACCGAAAAATCGAAACATCGACAAATTGAAACACTCAAACATCAAGAAATGAAACATCAAAAAATCGAGAAATCCAGAAATCGAAAAATCGGGAAATTGGGAAATCGAAATACCAAAGTTCAAAAAATCGATATATTAAAAATTGAAAGATTGAAAAATTGACAAATTGAAAAAAGTCGAAATCCGAAAAGTCGAGAAATAGAAAAATTGAAAAATTTGGACTTGGAAAAATTGATAAATTGAATATTCAAAAATTGTAAAACTTTGAAAATTTCGATAAATCTAAAACTAAGAAGTCGAAAAACCCAAAGATCAAGAAATCGAAACATCAAAATAACTAAAAAGTCTGAAAATCAAAAATTCGAAAAATCCAAAAATAGAAATATTGAAGAGTGGAAACATCGAGAAATCGAAACAACAAAAAATTGAAAATTGAAAATTCGTAAAACTGAAACATCAAAAAAATGAGAAATTTCAAAATGAAAAACCAAGGAAGCGAAAATTTGAAAAATCGAGAAATTAAGAAATAAAAGTATTAGAAAATTTGAAATCTGAAAAATCCAATGAAAATTGAAGAATTGACAGATTAAAAATCGACAATCCAAGAATAGATGTCGAAAAATCGAAAATTTAAAATATTGAAAAATTGAAAAATCATAAACCCGAGAAATCGAAAATTTGCAACATTGAAGAATTGAAAAACTGGGAAATCGAAAAGTCGAGAAACCGAAATTAAAAAATCGTTAAACTGGAACATCGGAAAATTGAGAAATCCACAAATGAAAAAAATCGAGAATACGAAAGTTTGAAGAATCGAAAAATTGTAAAATTCCAACACTGAGTTATCAAAAAATCGAGTATTCAAAAGGGAAATTGAGAAACTAAAAATAGAGAAACTGAAAAACCGAAACATTAATAAAAGAAAAAGGAATAATCCCAAAACTGAAATGTCGAAATATTGAGAGATCGAAAGTTGAAAAATCTAAAAATCGAAAAGATGGAACTGGAAAATTCGAAAAACTTAGAAATCGAAAAATTGAAAAACTGGAGAATCCAAAAATCGAGATATCGATAAGTCCACAAATCGAAAAGTCAAAAACCTAAAAAATCGATTTATCGAGAAATTAGGAGGTGGAAAAACCGAAAGTTTAGAAACGTCAAAAACTGAAAAACATGGGAAAATGAAGAAACCGGAAAATAAAAAAATTTAAAGTTGACCAAAATATCGATTAACCCAGAAATTGAGAAATCGAAAAACCGAAAATTAGAGACGTCAAAAACTGAAAAACCGAAAAATAAAAAAATTGGAAAAATCGAAAATTTGAAGAATCGAGAAATTGAAGAATGGAAATATTGGGAAATGCGAAAACTCAAACATCAACTTGAAAAATTGAAGAAAACTTGAATCGACCAAATTGAAAAATCCCAAAACTGAAACATGGGTAAATTGAAAAATTGAAAAAGTGAAAAATCAAAAGAATCAAGAAATCGAAATGGCTAAGAGCCGATTTAAGCCCAATTAAGTATTTGATTGCAAATAAATTTTTAGGACAGAATTAAAGTACCATGTGATCGACTCTACGCCAATTAGACGTCGCTATATATATAAACGCCTGATACTTGATTAACTCAATCCCAATTAAAATATTCTATAAACGGACTCTTTAAAAACCCCTTGAAGAATCGAAAAATTGAAGAATTGTAAATCTGAAAACTTGAAAAATCGAGAAATTGAGAAGTCAAAAAATTGAAAAGTCGAAAAACCAAAAAATCGATTAATCGAGAAATTGAGAAAAGGAAAAATCAAAAATTTAGAAACGTCAGAGCGGGAAACTCGAAAAATTAAAAAATCGTCAAACTGGAACATCGGAAAATTGAGAAATCCACAAATGAAAAAAAATCGAGAATACGAAAATTTTGAGAATCCAAAAATTGTAAAATTCCCACACTGAGTTATCGAAAAATCGAGTATTCAAAAAGCTGAAAACCGAGAAATTGAAAATAGAGAAACTGAAAAACAGAAACATTAATGAAAGAAAAAGGAAAAATCCAAAAACTGAAATATCGAACATTGAAAAATGGAAAGTTGAAAAATCAAGAAATCGAAAAGATGGAAAATCGAAATATCGATAAGATAAGAGAAATTGACAAGTCGAAAATCCGAAAATTTAGAAACGTCAAAAATTGAAAAACCGAAAAATTTAAAAATTGAAAGATCGTTCAACTAAAACATACGAAAATGAAGAAATCGGAAAAAAAAAATCGAAAAATTGATTGGCCCTTTAAAAACCGAAAATAAAAAAAAATCGAAAAATTGAGATCAGAAACCTGTAAAATCGAAAAATTGACGAATTGTGAAACTGAAATATCGAAATATCGAGAAATCGAGAAGTTCAGAAATCGAAAAGTCGGAAAACCAAAAGATCGATTAATTAAAAAGTTGAGAAATAAAAAAATCGAGAATTTAGAATTTAGAAGCCTAAGGTAAAAACTGAAAAACCGAAAAAATTAAAAATTAAAAAGTTGAAAAATCGTTAAACTGAAACATCGGAATATTGAGAAATCAAAAAATCGAAAATATGAAAAATCGAGAAATTGAAGAATGGAAATATTAGAAAATCCCTGAACGAAACATCGAAAAATTGAACAATTGAAAAGAACTTGAAGAATTAATTGAAAGGTCTTAAAAAAATCGACGTCTAAGAGCCGGTTTACAGAAGCTCAGATAAATATTTGATTGGTAATAAATTTTTAACACTGCAGAAACCTAAAAAATTTAAAAATTGAAGAATAGTGAAATTGAAAAATCAAAAATTTTAGAAATTGAAAAGTCGAAATTGTTATATATACGACTATGTCCAAAATTTTGATTTGTCTTCCAAAAATCTGGATGCCTATGGTAAAAACTGAAAACGGATACATAAACAAAAAATAGAGGAGTACATTCCATTTGATATTCCTAACAGACATACAAAATTTGACAACAATTGGACTGAGAGTTTTGGAGATTATCTGTCTAACAAAAATCTGGACAGACGGCAGACAGACAGATAGCCAGACAGACGGAAAACTATACTAAATATGTTCACTATATAACAAAAATATAACGGGTTTCAAACTAAGTCGACTTTGAATTTAAACTGACTTACGCCCCTTTGCGTTTCAACGGCTCATATATAAAAACCTATTTTAAAAATAAGTTATGCACATAATGGAATTTCTTCTTGAAAATGTAGACAACGGTAATCTAAGTATTAAGAAGCAAACATTTTTTACCAAACACATTTCATGCAAAGCCACACATTTACAAGTACTCAGTTTCGTTTCAGAAGCTATTTTACCTCATACATTGCATGTACAAAAAGTCCACAAAGCGTATAATCTTCACAGCGCCAACGAATTCCCACAATTCGTGAAATGACCCGGCTGTAGTAAATTCAGCGGGAATTCTGCGGTGGTAAATTTAAAGATATGTGCACCTGGATGAGTTGAGGGTGTACAAATATCGCTAACATGTACGGGTTAATTTACCCATTCAGCAGTGTTGGAGCTGCTGTGGCTTTGGAGTAATGGGGCCTTTACTGGACTTTTAGTGGGATTCTAATTGGGGCATCTACCACAAAGAGGATTCTTAAAACTGTTAATGCAGAATCTTGTTTAGGGAAAATGGAGATTTGGGGCGTGTGGAGAGGTATGATTATTATATTACATGGATCGTTAAAATCAACAAGCACTTTAATAGTTTAACCGACGAATTGTTTCATCCCTGGTTAAGCACTAAACTCAATTTTGTAAGTCTCGCAGGCATAATTCAAAAAATGTAGCGTAGATACACAAAGTAACATCAAATTTTTTTAGTAAAAAATCCCCTACAAACTTACTGATTTTGTAATATGTAAATTCAAGCATGTAAAGATTAAAATAGTGTTCTTTTAAAAGCAGCAATTGAGTAAGTTATAGTTGGTTATATTTTACATTATTTCCCAGCAGCTATTTGAGGTTTGAATTAGCGAAGCTAAACCGGAAATATTCCAGAAATCCCCCTGGAGATAAATTTTGCGTTGGTTTGTTTCTTTAACGATTGAGTTTAGTGTGTTTACACTTCCGAATCGAAATCTGAAAATAAACAAGGCAAGGATTTGTGTAAATTTCAGAATATTTAGATATTTTTTTTGGGACGACAATTTTCAAAAACGAATTTTCTTTTGCCTTTGGTTTCAAATCCAAGTCTAAATATAGACACCCTCTTCATCTGAAATAAAATATTTGCACTTAATTTTACAGAGTGCAAAAAATTCATGCTCTCGTAAGAAAAACCAAAATAGAAGTCATAAAAAGGATTCACAACTTGCATTTTGCATCCGTGTTAATGAAATTGAAAATTCTTGCGTGTTATTAAGTTTCCTAGAATCGTAAATATTTTACGGTAAGCGTATTCACGAATTTTGTTAAATTAAGCTGAAATTGGTACCTTATGAGACACATTCCGGAATCCTATTACAGTCTTGAGTATAGTTTCTCCAGGAATTAGTCGAAAACTGCAGTGTTTTCCACGTAGAGGACCATTTTCTGTTTCTTTATAAATGCTTAAACATTGCTCGAAGGCGCCGTATTCCACCATGTTCCCCATTAGGACACCCGGTTGTAATTTAGAGGACGAGTCAAACACTGAAATGGATAATGCTCTTTTTAGATTGCATCGTCTCTTCCTGCAGCAATGCAAAAATGCGACCCCATTCCTTAAAACATGCACTATCCCTAGAAATAAACGTAAAAAACCTGTTTATATTTCCTCAACAAACAAGAGACCGCGACGCTCCATTTGGAAACATTAGAGCCGCTGAAGGAAATATCCATCGAAAACAAGCAATGTTTTGTTTTAATATCGAAGCAAAATAAAGATACGCCATTATCGTCCCAATATTTCATAAATATTTTCGTTATATTTCTCGGCACCTAATTATTTTTAACTAGAATACCTACTCCTTAGAGCCCACGGTTCCAGAGATCGAAGCCCGTTCTTGAAATCTTCGACTTGCCTTTTGCACAACAAATCTCGAGGCGCGTTGAGGGCATAAGTGGCAATAATTTGATTCATTATCAAGCCTTGTTTCATTGTTAATTTCACGGCCCCTTTCTTATTCGCCGTTCCGTTATTTTTCGCTTGGGTTGCGATTTTTTCAGGAAATGCGGCCACATTATAAGAAAACGCCTTTGATGGGGTATTGTTTCGAGGAGCTGCTTTTGTGGCATTTAGAATGTAACAAGTTACAATGCAAGCTTGTAAATGTGTGACGGTTTTGGCTAAATTCATCGTGGAGAACAAAGTTAGAGTTTTACTTAGCCGCTTATATAGAATACGGTTGAGGTATAATAAGTACGCGTCAAAACTTTGATGTTTCTATTATGTAGTCGAGCTGAAACTTTGCATGTGTGACAATTTAATGACACTAAAGGAGGTGAGTTTCCCACTTATTAGCTGACTTTACGGATTGTTACATGCAGTAGAAGACAGAAGAGGGTCTTACTGTCTCAAAAGTTGGGTCGTTTCAACTTGTGGTCTCAGTAAAGGATGTTGGGTTAGGGCGGACTCTAATTTTATTTTGTTAATATATCGAAAGTTGGAACTAAAACTATTACTATGTAATTAAATTTCAATGTCGCAGCTTTTTTCGTGACATTTGATGAACAACATTCATACTATGTAACGTCAAATTAATCAGCCATTAGTTTTAATTATTGCACGAATGCATTATGTTAAGTAGACGAAGTAATGATGTTCATTATTTCCAGAATTAATATGTTCTATAATTAATATGTTGTAAATGTATGCGTCAGTGGTAGAATTTCAAGTTCATTATAATTACGTAATTAATGATGTTATAACCGGATCGTAACACGTAGCTCTCATATCGTTGCACCCTCGGTCTGATTTGGTTATAGTTATTATTCTGTCTGTTTCTGATTACCATAATTTATGATATTTAAAACACAGTGGTGTAAATTAATCGTTGCTAATTAAACCTTATTTATTGCAACAATTTATTATTAGAAATCTCTTAAACGAAAATATCAATTGTGAAACGATCGTCAGTCGTTATGTTTGTATTTGAGGTATTATTCTTGAGAAAGATTTCTCCGTGACGTCATCAAATTTTTGGTGGGGATAAATACAGTCATTTGGATATGTACAACGAGCAAAAGTATATATATTTCTTGAAGTTTAACAATTCGGTCTAAAATGTACAGGGTGATTCAGAGCACTACTGCATAATTTTAATGGCTAGTTATACACATTCTAGAAAGCTATGCTCAATTCTCAAAAATTGAAAGATAGACATTTTAAATTTCCAAAGTTATTAATTTTTTATGAATTTGAAAAAGTCTTAAGTGCCGCAGTGTTTTTTTTTTATTCGGGAGACTCTTGGGTCCCATGGTGTATTATTTTCGACGCCCATGCAGATTTTTTTGTAAATTCTTTAAAACAATTTTCGGGGACTTTGGTGTTCTATTTTTGGAAAACTCTGACCTGTGTTTGAGTCAGTATTGAGACCCCGTTATTTTTTTGAAAAATTTAAAACAATCTTGAGGTTTTAGGGATTGTTTGGAAAGAATTTGAAAGTGCTTTGGAGCCTCTAGTGTCTTTTCTTATAATAATTTAGTTAAATTTCGTACAGGATAGGTCATTTGCTAAAATCAGTCTTGTCCTAACAGGTACTAGCCCCACCCACCCTCTTTTCTTAGAGAGTATCTAATTTGCCAAAATCAGATTTATCTTAGTAAGTACTAGCCCCGCCCACCCGCCCTCTCGTTTCTTTGAGGGTATCGCATTTGCCAAAATCACTCTTATCTTAGCAGGAACCAGCCCCGCCCATCCTCTCTTTTCTTAGAACGTATGTCATTTACCAAAATCGGTCTGATTTACTTATTAGCCCCGCCCATCTACCCTCTCTTGTCTAAGAGGGTAAGTTATTTGCCAAAATCAACCTTATCCTTGCAGGTACTAACCCCGCCCACCCACCCTCTCTTTTTCATTTGCCAAAATCAGTTTTATCTTAGCAACTACTATCTAGGATAAGACTGATTTTGGCAAATGACGTACCCTCTAAGGAAAGAGAGGGTGGGTGGGCGAGGCTAATAGCTGGTAAAACAAGAAGATTTTGGTAAATGAGATACCTTCTAATGAAAGAGAGGATATTATATTCGTAAAAATATAATAGACGCATAAAAAACTATATATGTATGTAAATATTAAATAAAAGCATCTCTTTACTTCCAAAGCGTAAACTCAGTAACAGAAATAATAGGTTCCCCGTTTCCGTCTGTCGATCTGTCTGTCTGTCTGTCTGCCGTGTCCCAATTTTTATTAGACAGATAATCTGCGTAACTACTGAACCAATTCCCAATTTTATATGCGTATTACGAAGAAACTGTATATAGTAAAACGTGAGTCCAAATTTGGCTAATTCATCCCTTGAGTTTTTACCCTTGACATCGAGATTTTTGGGAAAAAACTCAAAATTGTATTTTACAATTTAACTGTAATATTGCAAAAGCGAATGTATTGAAATATTGCAAACGTTTTAGAGTAATAGGAAGGGAAAAGAGAGAAAATGTTCCTTGGCGTCATTTTCGAATTCTGCGAAATAAATGTTTTTTAAACTTCATAAAATAACTAGCTTTTGGCCTGCGGCTTCGCTCGCGTAGACGATTCGTTGTGTTGAAGAGCTTTATTGCTAAGTTTCAAGTAAAAATGTGTTAAAGAGCATTAATACAAAATTTCAAGTAAAAATCGCCATAAAAATATATATTTTTCCTCACACAAACTTTGCCACTCCCTTTCACCTTCTTAGGGGTGGAATTTTGAAAACATCTGAAATACGTCTTTTATTATTTGTGTTGAACAGTATTAATACCAAGTTCCACGTAAAAATGTAAATTTGCAATAAAAATATCTTTCCCATATAAATTTCGCCACCACTTTTCACCCCCTTAGGCGCTGAATCTCGGAAAAATTTACAATAGAAATATTTTTCACATACAAACTTAGCCACCACTTTTCACCCCATTAGGGGTTGAATCACGGAATTTAAGCATTTGCTTATATACGTGTTTCATTATTTGTGTTGGAGACGATTAATACCAAGTTTCACCTAAAGATTTAAATTTACAATAAAAATATTTTTCCTATACACATTTAGCCAACACTTTTCACCCCCTTAGAAGTTGAATCCCGAAAAATGCTTAAATACGTGTTTCATTGTTTGTGTTGAAAAGCATTAATACCAAGTTTCACGTAAAAATTTAAATTTACAATACAAACATTTTTCCCACACACATATAGCCAACACTTTTCACCCCCTTAGGGGTTGAATCTCGAAAAATGTTTAAATACGTGTTTCATTATTTGTATTGAAGAGTATTAATACCAAGTTTCACGTAAAAATTTAGATATAGAATAGAAATATTCTCCCATACGAATTTAGCCTCCACATTTCACCCCCTTTCGGGTTGAATCTTAGAAAATGCTTATTATCGGTTTCATCATTTGTATTGAATAGCATTAATACCAAGTTTCACGTAAAAATTTCAATCTATAGTAGAAATATTATTCCTACACAAACTTAGCCGCCCTGACTCAGACACCACTTTTCACCCCCTTAGGGGTTGAATCTCGGAAAATGCTTAAATACGTGTTTCATTATTTGTATTGAAGAGCATTAATACCAGGTTTTAAGTAAACATTACCATAAAAATATTTTTCCCATATGCACCCCTTTTCACCCTCTTAAGGGTTGAATCTAGGAAAATACTAAAATACGTGTTTCATTATTTGTGTGAAAAATATTGATACCAAGTTTCACGTAAAAATTTAAATGAACAGTAGACATATTGGTCCTGTACAAATTTTATCACCTCTTTTCACCCCCTTCGGAGATGAATTTCGAGAAATTTCCAGTATAAAATGAACATTCTCTCCAAATTTCAACTTTCTAGCTTAGCGGTTTGGGCTGGGCGTTGATAAGCCAGTCGGGACATTGCCTTTTATATATAAAGATATATTCCTGCATGTGTGATTTATGAATCCGTGTTCAGTTTTTATCCTTTACCTCCAGATGTTTGGAAAAAAGGTCAACATTGTATGACAATATTTTACAATTTATTTGTAAAAACCGAAGGCTGTGAAATCATGCAAATATTTTAAGATAATCTCTTCAAAATGTTTTTGGGTAAAAAACCGAGTTTTAATTAATCAAATAGTCCTTTCCTCTGCTTCGAGTACCCAAAATCAACCAACTTTCATTTTCTTTTAACCTTTGATGCTTGTAATCTGAACGTGCTAATAGTCGAATTCGGTCGAACCATAAACATAAACAGTCGAAGTTAAGCATATACGTAGAAATTGAAAATGTCTACATTTTTTCCTGTTATCGGCTTTAAATATATTTCATATTTAAAAACGCAGGGGCCGGGGGGATGCTAATTACTCCACTTTATAAAGGTTAACAGTTATCACAAAACGAAAATCGCAAAAACTAATTTTATAATTTTTTAAAAAAGCGGAATTTGTCGGACTATGCTTCAAGGACGAGGAAATCTCTGTGAAAATAACTTTCCACAATTTTTTTACTAGCTTGCTTTTTCTTGGTAGCGTTATCAAAATTCCAAAAACATCATTCTTTTAAAACGCCAATGTCCTCGGCAATAATAATAGCAATAATAATGTAAATTTGCCGGTGGACACCCATGTCCTCAATGTGAGACTGGACAGACAGACGGAAACGTCGAGAAAACATTAAATTAGCCGTTCACTGAACGGACCTGATTAAAATACTTTCTTATCTTAGGCTTAGGCGAGATTTAAAAACATCAAAGAGCCAAGTTGCAAGGTTCTTTGAATAGCAGAAGTAGTTATGTGGTGGGGCTTCTAGGCCAGTTTGACCCCAGTTGACCTGACCTAGAAGCCCCACTACATTCTATCGATTCATTCGTTTCTCGTCTACTTTGACCTTAGTTAACCTAGCAACCACGTCGACTCACGTCAGCAGCAAATTTCCGTATCCATGAAGAATGTAAACTGTATTTTTGTTTAGATCGTGAAATTCTGCATTTGCCTTAATAACCAATGCAAATTACAGTTTTGAAATTCCACTGCGACGTCGCCACGTTACTCGAGTTTTGTTTGATTTTTTTAACAGTGCAAGGTTTCTCAAAATAAATCGTAATAATCGTATATTTAAGAACTGTTCCAAATTTTAAGGCAGATATTCTCTTTTTTGTAGTATCAGTTCAGTTAAATTTTAATATAGAAAG